TGCGAGTGAGCGATCTATATATAAGTATTTGTTTTTGCTATGATTTTGTTTGGACTGAAGTGAATATCCCCGCAGCAGTTTGTTTAGTCTATGGGTCACGTCTGTTCGATTTTAAATTGACAGTTTTGACAGAGTTCAAACATGGCGGAAAACGGTGGAGAAGAAGTAAAGTCTTGTGATAGAAAGTCGCATTTAACTAAAACGGGTAGCAAACAATGGGTAAAACTAAACGTCGGAGGAACTTGCTTTTTAACTACAAAGACCACATTATCTAGAGATCCGCATTCCTTTCTTGCAAGACTAATTCAAGAAGAAAGCGATTTAATATCAGATGTGGTAAAATTATATTGGTTATAAATTATTATGCTTCAATTTGAAATACATTCTATTTATAATGCAGGATGAAACTGGAGCCTACCTAATTGATAGGGACCCGATTTATTTTCATTCCGTTTTAAATTATTTAAGACATGGGAAGCTAGTTCTAAACAAAGACTTGGTAGAAGAGGGTGTTTTAGAAGAAGCCGAGTTTTACAACATTACAGATTTGATAAAATTATTCAAAGAAAGAATCGATTATTTTAAGAGATAACCAACCTATTCATGATAAAAAGCGGGTTTATAGAGTTCTGCAATTTCAAGAAAATGAACTTTCACAGGTTATTTTGGAATCTCTGTATCTTATTTTTTATTGTGAGATATTTACATTCATTTGAAATCTTGTACAGATGGTGTCTACAATGTCTGATGGATGGAGATTTGAGCAATTAATTAATATGGGTCCTCACTATAGTTACGGTTCAGAAGAACATGCTGAATTTTTGTGTGTTGTATCGAGGGAATGTGGCCTTACCGTAAATAGTAAAGAAACAGAACCAACTGATAGAGCTAAAGTGTTGCAGCAAAAAGGCTCCAGAATATGATTATTTTTATAGAATTGCGCATGTTTTCAGAATCTTAAGTGCATTATCCTTTTATATTACTCGTGAAACCTTGATATTGTTATTTTGATATTTGATGAAATTATTACAATTTCCTAGAATAAATAATGAATAAAAATAAATAAAAGTTTTATAATATCGTCAATGTTTTTTCCATGAAACCATATAACATAATATAATATTACCAAATACCCAATTAATATTTGTGTTTGACTAGTATGTTTCAAGTATTGATATGATTTTAGAAGATATTGAAGGTTTCAAAGTGCTCTGCTAAAAGAATCTTTAGAATTATATTTATAACAATTTTATGATTCTGTGATATTAAAAAATCTAATACCGTTTTTTAAAAAATATTGAAATTTTTATTACTCATAATGGGTTGTTTGACTGTTGTTGATATGATCAGACTTAAACCAAGAAATAATTAAAAGAAGTATTCTACTAGTTTGTTTGTTGTTCGAGCAAAAGACTGAGTATGTTACAAATTATAACTATAATCTAAAAAGGTACTAATTTTTTGTATAGATAGAATTTGCTTACACCAATTTATTTTTAATTTATATACATAATGAATAGATTATAGGGTGCTATTGAACCCTAAATCGTACACACAAGTAACAAAGATTCAACATATTACAGCTATATTATAAAGCTATGACAACTTTCTTTCTGCAGTTTTTTTTCCAGAAATCCGAGGCTTTCGTAAAAACGGTGAAAACAATTTTGTATAACTAACATTGCATGCAGACAAAAATGAGTCAGTCTGATTTTTGAAATGCCATGTTTATTAAAGTAAGAAAACTCAAATTAGTTAGAAACGATAATAACCATGGTTATTAGTTTATTTATCTATGTCTGAACCAATTCTGAGCCATTCCAGTCAAATTTAAAGTTTTTTTATTGGATAAAGTAAAACTGCAGTTTTACTTTTTCCAATAAAAAAACTTTAAATTTGACTGGAATGGTTCAGACATAGATAAATAAACTCTAGGCCTAATCAGTAAAATTCGCATTTTTTCGGAGATAACTCCCTAGCTCCTCATGAGTTTAAAATTCGAAATTTGAAAATTTTACTGAATTAGTTTAGATATTAACTTAGAAGAAATCTTATGATTATTGTACATAGATAAAAAAGTGAATCTCATAAGAATTTTATATAAGAATTTCCATTTTTTTATTCATTTCCGAAAGAAAAAAACATTCTTCTTAGGAGATCCGATTAGCAAATCTTATGTTAAGAAATAGCAGCATAAAAATTAGTTTTCTTTTGGAAATAATAAAGGTATTTAGTATATTTAAGTAACAAAATAGAAGATATTCATAAATGATGGCTTCGCATGATGGCAAAAATACGATTTTTTTTTTCAAATATTGATTGTGTGATTAACGATTGTTGCGTTCTTATTTATCTATGGTTGGTTGTGCTGTAGTTGTTGTTTGTTCTTCAAATGGTGAACCGTCGATATACTCTTCTTTTATCTATGGGTGAACCATCGGTGATCGGTGCACATCGGTGAACAAACGCAACTCGTGGTCTTCCCTTGCATCAGTTTTATCTATGGTTGGCAATGAGAAATGGAGAAATGTCTCGAGAGAGGGATCTATATTTGTAATTCTTTTATCTATGCCTGTCATCTTTTTCTATTATTATTGTGTCTAGCTAGGCCGACTAGGGCTGCAATTGTGTCGAAATAAACAAAGGATATAAGTTAGTAAAAACTGTTTTACATATTTTTATTTTTTCGTCATTTTTACTTCAATTATTAGGCATGTATCAATTAGTTAATGATACCTTATCGTATGTAATATTCACAAATCCTATATCAAGTACTTTAATAGATGTAGCAAGAAAAACGGTTTGTGTTACTGAAAAATAGAATTCAAATTATTCGATAATTTTATTTAAATAATATACTAATTGCCATAGGGATACGTGAAGCCAAAAGCACAAGTGCCGGTTAAGACTATACAAACAATGCAACCTTTGTGGAACCTTATTGGAAATTCTAGATATATAATTCGAGTGGCAGGAATTTGTGGAGCCAGTGCTGTAATACTTGGAGCATATGGTTCTCATAAGCATTACCCTGAAGTAGATTCTGGACAAAAAGATTTAAGAAAAATTTATGAAACTGCAAACCGATTTCATTTCATTCATACATTAGCATTGTTGGGAACTCCACTTTGTAGATATTCTAAATTGGTAAGTATATTTTGGATTTTACGATAAATGTCATGATATCTAGCTTATTAAATTATATGCTACTAAGCATTTTTTTAGTAATATGTAACTTACTAACATTTTGCTACAGATCAAATTCTTTCAAACATGATCTTATTCTTCAGCGTTTGTATTATGTGGAATGATTGGCAATATTTATCTGAAATTACCAAAGAGTTGCATTAGATCACTATCGATTTGATACCATTTAGGAATTTGTAAAAAACTCATTGTCAATGTTAATAAAAACAATTGACAAATTTGTTATGTTCAGTGCTACTTTTGTTGTGAGATTTCAATGGTTGTTAAGCCATTGAAATCTCAAATCGTCAAGAAAGTGTCTTATAAGGTACTATTAATTTTTGTAAACATTGGAAGTATATGGACTCAAGCCCCAGACTATTTGAATTCAGTTAGCCTATAACTCTACTCATCACTTTGGGAGAATTTCTAAATAAACTACTATAAACCCTATTCAGTAGAGCCATTATTTTTAATAGTTGAGCCTCATTTAAGTTAACTTGAAATTATGCTGAATTAAAGTATGTGTTTTAATTGAATTTTTTTATAATTATTGACAAGTAATAATGTACTTATTATGCACATAAAAGTACTCTTTCATTTGATGATTACTTGATAGAAGTGTGGTTTCATCTTTGTTTCTTATATGTGTACATTGCAGATTTTTTTCTAATTTCTGATACAAAACATTGCAACATTTGTAGATATGGAAAAGGTTTTTCATGTGAGGCTAAGTAAATTAAAATATATGGATTATATTCCTTTTTTTTCATTATCATTTTACAAATAGTCAATCAGAATATAGAATGATTCATATTCAAAGCATGTTTTTAGCAGTGTAATCACCTCTTTTTTCAGAGCGCTGCTTTTTTCTCAATGGGAATGTTATTATTCTGCGGCACATGCTACTATCGTGCTTTTTCTGGAGAACATAAATTTAGTCAACTAGCGCCTGCAGGGGGAGTTTGTCTTATTTTGGGTTGGCTAGTTATGGTTATCTGAATACTAAAATACAGAATGATTTATTGATCTATATATATTATCCTTGTTACATAATAATTTTTAAATTTTATTATAACTGTAATACAAAATAAATAAAAAAGTATAACTGAACTGAATTATTTGTCATTATGCCTATGATGCATATTACATTGTTTTGTATTTTTAAATTACAAATTTGCCGTGCCGCTCAACGATTTTTTGTCAGTTTGAATATCGGCATTATGCGCCGCAAAATATTCGCAAGAGCCGTATAATGTTTAAATTAATAACATTGATTTTAAATTGGTCAAAAAAAAAATACAATATAATAATAAAAAACTATAACAATATATATAAAGAAAAAACAAGAAAAAAGTTAAGAACAAAATAATAAAAGTATATATGTACATTGAACGTTACACAATTTTTTTTTTTAATATATTAGCCTCACAATATCTGCATATGTAGCAAGTTTCTTTCAATTGCTAATATTATATTCCCTCGACGCTTGGAGTCATTCTTAATCGATTGAGCCCAAATTTGGTAAAAGTGAGTGTGTGGCATGTGAGCCGACGTTTTACCTTTTGTCAACGTTTTTTCTGAACCGAATCGATAAGCACTAGCGACAATCAGTCGAGCCGTTTTTTTTTCAAATTAGTAAAAAAGTTCAATTTTGTTTGTCACCGTTTTAGCCTAAATTCGTGAAACGGTTTTGAAAAATCAAAATTCATTCAAATCATATTAATTGGGAAATGTGCTAATTAGATTTTGTCAAAAATCGGTCGGGTCGTTACTTCGTAAATGTTAAAAACAAATTGTGACTTCTATGGCGATAAGGTTTCTGCTCAGGATGAACTTTCTAGAATATTAAACGCTTACAACAAATGGTATAATAAAATATTTATTATAATATCATTATTTATTATAAAATGTAAAGTTTTTATTACTTGGGCGCGCAAATTGCAATTTACGCATAAAAAAACGTTTAAAAACGAAAAATGAAACAAATAAATTTTATAAAAAATGAAGAATTTCAGTTCAATAAAATAAAATCATAGGTGACCAAAAAATGTCTTCGTCATCAAAGTGCTTATACATGTTTGCATGCCTGAGAAGGTGAATATTGGAATAGTGATAAAGTTAATAATCAAAACCCCCTTAAAGGTATGTTTCAACTATAGTTTATAAAAAATGGGGTAGGTGCAACATATATTTTCAATAATTCATTAAATATCTGCTAAAATATTTTGAAAAATAATTTTAAAGATAATGAAATACTAGTCTCACTTATTTTAATTTATGAGCAATATACAATAGGACAGCTTTTCAGGGACATAATCGATAACAATTATGATTTTTATAGAATTATAAACAAAATGTTGGAAAAAAGTAATACTCCAAAAGTATTGTGACGTTCATGCATATATGAGTAAGTATGTACTTAACCTGCATAAATATTCTTTTTTCATAAATCTCGTCAACTATATGATCTTAACACCTAGAAAACCTGGATTGAATGGGTTCAGACTCGATTTGAATTGGCTCTGGTGGAGAATAATAACCAAATGCCATTGGTCGAATTCTTATAGGTAAAAACTGCGAATTTACCAGGATTGATAGTCATTTCAGGTACGTACCACTCAATAAAATAAAATAACATATATTTCTAATATTTTCAATTTATTTTAATAACTAGCGAGATAATCTTAAATACAATGCATGCTTACATTCTTTGGACGTTGCATGCATATATTTATCATAAAAATCCAGTATAAATTCTTCAACTTTAAAACCAAATTTCTGATATAGTATTAATGCAGGATTTGTCGCGGACACATGCAATGTTATGTCTTTGCCAATACACGTCTGAAAAGATGTACATTTTCATAT